ACTTCTCCACTCATGCTGCTCATGATTATCCATCTTAGTACAAACTCCCAAGGCCTTCCTGGTCTGGAAGAGTTCAGCCCACTGGTTTCATTCCTTTTCCAAAGGAGACTCGAGATACTCTCCACAAGTCGCCTTCCCTCCTGTTTGGATTTTGGATGGTACACTGGAGTTGAGGGGCTACAGGGTGAAAGCTTTGATATTAAACCATCTATATGGGATTAATCTAGGAAAGTTTTTCACTTGCTTTCTCAGACCTTTTTGGGATTCGAGTTTGCAGGTCACTGGTTTCAGAAAAATATGCATGCAGAAAAACATTTGGTTGCACCACGTTAACCATGTGTGTATATGTGTGTGCACACGTATACTTGCAGCATGTTGACCTCGTGTCCAGTGTGTGGGGCTGTACTTTCCAAGTACTGTGAGATGGGATGGTTGCATTGTGGTAAAATTTGGGGCTTGGACCTCAACAAAGTCCCATAGAGGGGTAGAGGGCTGGGACAAGAGGTCACCTCTTTAGGCATTTCTAAGTTCAGAGAGAGGTGTGCTAAGGGTGCTGGGCTGCCAGGTGCTAGGCTCACAGCGATGTGCTCACAAATGACCAGTAGATGGTGCACTAACAACAGGGAAATATGGCTACCGTCCCTCCGCGGGCTGGAAAGGGATTTTAGGAAACCGGTTTCCAGTCAGTTCCGACCAAATGCTGATTTTCTACATTTCCATATGTGGGTCTTTAAGAAGACATTGGAAGGAGGGACATGGGAAGGAAAATAGGCACCAAGTTCCCTTATAAAGAACATTATGGCAATGACCTGACCTCAGGTTTTTTTTTCTATGGATTCCCCTGGATCTTAAGGGCAGTACATGCGTTCCTAGGCTAGCATCTTCCCAGCAAGGCCCCAGGACAGGAGCATGTGGCTACTGATCCAATTCAATCTGAGGATGGGAAGCATAGAATTCCCATGGGCTTAGTGTGATTGAATAGTTTCTTCTCATGACAATGAACGCTTTGGAATTATACTATTACCATCCACAAGAGATTAGACTGGATGTTAGAGCCATAAAGTAGAAGTCCAAAGATGTGTTAAAGCCCAGGGAAAATTACTTAAGGTTTCTGAAACTCTGGTAATCTGTCCACCAAATCAGGGTCATAATACGTGGGTTGCCAGGCTGATCTTCGAGATTTGTTGTGAGGCTTATGTAAGCTGAAAACTATTAAACACACATAAAATATGTTTAGCCATTGAAATTCTAGCTCTCTGGGAGCTAGGCGAATGGGGGCATTGGAGACGTTCATAGATCTCAAAGGTCTGAGGAGGTGTGACTGTGGGGTGGATGGTGGTGGTGGTGGTGGTGGTAGAAGAGTATGAGAGCATGCCTCCCTCCCACCATTACTGCCCTTAGGTCAAGTCCATTCCTAAAGACTTTTAGGCCAGCATGTTTGCTTCTTTCTCCTCCCGCCCTCTCCCCGCCGCAATGAAGTCCCCATTGATAACTTCCCTGCAGAGGTGTTCATACTCCAGCATAGTCAACATTATTCCCAACCCATGCATTTGTGATCCTATCTTCTCAGAAGGCAGGGAGGCAAGTGCCAGCTTCACTGGGTCTTCACATTTCCAACTATAGTATTCTATCTTGGGGAACCTAGGTCTCTAAAGAATTATAGCAGCCACAGGGAACCCAGGACATTGTTGAGAGAGGAAAAGGAATTAGTACTGCCTCTCTGCTGAGTGGGTGACATTGAAGACCCAGATCTGGAGGCTCCAGGTCTTCTAAGAACCTCTGCTAGGAGGTAAAGCTTAGAGAGCCCTGCTTCCTCTGAGCATGAACAGACAGGCATACCACCCTGAAGCCTGCTAAGGCCAGGACCCAGAGAAAGGAGGTGACGTTGTGAGGATGAGGTCTAGCAAGCATTCTGGCCAGTAGGGCTATAGAACCTTATTTATTTATTTATTTATTTATTTATTTATTTATTTATTTATTTATTTATTTATTTAGATTAAAGAAAAGGACACTTTTTTTTGGGGGGGGTCATCTATTTTGTCCATTATTATATCCTCAGTGCCAACAGTACCTGGTGCTCAAAAATATTTATCAGATGATTGATGTGAATGAATTTTTGTGCTATGGATTACGGCCCTGCCTGAAAGCATGGGTTTGACCACTTTTGAAAGCCCTTTCTCATCTGCAGCTTACAGGGTTACTGAGACAGCTACTTGTGACTGTTGTGCATGACTAAACCGTCTAATGGTTTGTGGTTCACAGCACCACTAACCCCTTTCACTTCTGACTAGGTCTCCAGAAAGAATGGTGCCCTCCAGTGAAGGCTGGTAGAGTGCAGAGTAAGGCAGTAACGTGAAATCAAAATACTCATTAGAGTGGACACACCTTGAATAGTAAATCTGGCCTGAAATGGGCTACCCTGAATCAAAAGGTCAGCACGCTGTCCCAAGGGCAGCACTGACACCATTCCTTTGGATTTCCAGTACCCCAGGACTATCCCTTCACACATATAGTCACCTACGTTCTCACAGAGACCTATGTCAATGCGCCCATGGCCTGGCCCACACATAGACACACACACATAGGCACACGTGTGCCTCTCCCTTGGATGTCATCACCCTTCCCATCAGTCTGTTTCACTCACCGGGACACTGCCTTTCATACACATGAAGCCACACTCACCCATGGATTCCAACCTCTGGGTTTTGGTCAGCCTCTTTGTTTCCTTCATCAGCAGCTCCCCTCCCCTTCTCTGGCATTGCTCAGGTGGGGAGCATGTGGATAGAGCTGGGTGTGTTTTGAGGCTGAGGTTGCAAAAAGGAGATCAAAGTGTGTTCCAGCCAGTGTAGACATGGAAGGAGACAACTGGTCCTGTGCTCAGTTCAAACCAGAGTCTACCTGTGGAGAAGGGCTTGGTTGCTAAACCTAGGGACTCTTTCTCAGGGTCTTGGAGCCCACCTTTCCCACTTACGCAGCTCAGACACTAATTGTTTTATTCTTCCTTTAATGAGGTGGGTTTGAGGAAGTCAGCGGAGCTGACCTGTGGGTAAAAGGTAGGGGTGGGTGGATCCCCCTGATTGTTAAGACTTTGAGGAAGGTAGTGTTAGCCCCAAACTCGCCATCGATGGCCCCAATAACTGGACCAGCCTTCCAGAAATGGATGCGCAGGGCTCCGCCGAAACGGAACCCAAGAGGCCTCCCCAGATCGCCTTTGCAGGCGGAGGCCAGAAGCTCCCAAGGGGAGCTGGCACCGACACCAGAGCGCGGAGCCCGCAGAGGTCCTAGCGTGCCTCCCAGGGCCCGCGGGTTGCCGAGTGGGGCGACGGGGAGAGGGTGCCGTCTTCTCCGCTGCTCCCCGGGCCGCGCTCCTTGGACACTGGGAGGCGAGGAGGAGCAGCGCGGGGGCCCCGGTGCGCGGCGCGCGGGGCGCGGGCGCCAAGGCTCCCACCGCCCTCCCGGGCGGGCACCGCGCGGGCCCAGCTCCCGCGGACGCCTCGGCGGGGACGGCAGGCGCGAGTGCGTGCGCGCGTGCGTGTGCGCCCCCGCCGGGCCTGGGCTCGGCGCTCCCGCGGGTTCGGTGCCGCGCCGCCAGCTGCGCCCGCCTCCCGCCCCTCGCCGTCGCTTGGGGAGAGGCGACTCTTGCTGGGCCGCTGCGGCGGCGGCCCGCTACCCCCTGGCTCGACAGACCGATAAGCCGGACCGGCCTCGCTCCCCAGGCCCCCGCAGCCGCGGCGCGCCGGGGTCCTTCCGGCTCCGTCCCCGCCCCTCCCGGCCCCGCCGGCCCCGCCCCCGCTCCTCCCGGCGCCCCGGCGCGCGCCTCGCTGCGCCTCTGCGCTCCGCTGGCTCTGCCCTCCGCGCCTTCCCCTCCGCTCCCCCCACATCCCCCTCCGCTCCCCGGAGTGCGGCCGTCCGGGCGGCAGGAGAAACCGAGCCGTGCAGGAGGAAGTTCGGCCCTTGGACAAGTCCCGGGCCAGGCCACCGCCGGGCTCGCCTGCAACCTGTTCCTCCCTCGCCCCAGCGCCCGCCCGCCCGCGCCCGCGCCCGCGCCCGCGCCCGCTCCCGCGCCCGCTCCCGCTCCCGCCCTCGCCCCGGCGCAGCCGCGGATCGCTGTTGCATGCTGATCCGGGGAGGCGGCGGCGGCGGCGGCGGCGAGCGCTCCGGCAGGATGCTGGCACTCGGGCTTCGCTGCTCTCTGGATGCTGCTCAACTTCTCTCCCAGCCGCAGGAGCTTTGAAGTCGTTTGTCCCTCTCCGGTTGGATTGACTTCCTACATTTTGATATTTTGGGCGTTGCGGTTTGCGCAGGAACCTCAGTATCGCTCTCCCCCCTCCCTCTCTGTCAACCTTTGGATGCGTCTGTGCTGGCAGATTTAAAGACCCAAGTCTTGGCTGTGGAATTTCTTAGATGGACTTGCCGGGGCTCGCGTTATAAAGCATGTCACCATAACCCGGTCCTTGCCTTTTTTTTTTTTTTAAAGTTCTTTTGTTTTCATTTTTCTCTTCCTCCCCAGCCCCCACCCCCAATAAATCACCAAACTGTTACCTAGCGGGCCGGTGCCTGCCTCTCTCCCAGAACTAGGTGGTGCGTCTGCCAGAAGAGGAGCTATGTTTGAAGAGCAGCCTACTCCACCCCTCTCCTCTTCAGTCCCCGAATGCCACCACACACTGGCATTTTGAAAAAAAAAAATTGCCTCCAGAAACTGAGCACCCCCAAGCCCTCCCCCTGCTTTTTTTTTTTTTTTTTTTTTGTTTCTTCTCCTTGAGGAATGGAGCTTCGCAGAGGTTGTATTTAGATTCAACAGTTCAGAGCGGCGGGGCTGCTGCTGCCGCTGCCGCCTCTTCCAGGAGCTCGCGAGGCTCCCCGGAGGCTCCCCGGAGGCGGTGGTCCCCGGGCTCCGTCTGGATGCGGCTCTGAGTCTCCGTGTGTCTTTCTGCTTGTTGCTGTGTGCGGGTGTTGGGCCGCGATCACCTTTGTGTGTCTTCTGTCTGTTTAAACTTCAGGATGGCTCGCTTCGGGGAGGCGGTGGTCGGCAGGCCGGGGTCGGGCGATGGAGACTCGGACCAGAGCAGGAACCGGCAAGGAACCCCGGTGCCGGCCTCGGGGCCGGCGGCCGCCTACAAGCAGTCGAAAGCGCAGAGGGCGCGGACTATGGCTTTGTACAACCCCATTCCCGTCCGGCAGAACTGTTTCACCGTCAACAGATCCCTGTTCATCTTCGGAGAAGATAACATTGTCAGGAAATACGCCAAGAAGCTCATCGACTGGCCATATCCTTTCTTGCCCACCATAACTCCCCTCTCCCCCTTTGCGTTTCTTTGGGTAAGGGTGGAAATCTAGCTTGGAATTCATCCCCCATCCCTCTCCTGGTGCCAGTTTGCCCCTTTGTTGAAGTGCAGTCTTTACTTCCGTGTACCTAAGGGGCAAGCTTGGTGCTGTAGAGGCCAGTGTGGGCACTAGTGCTTTTCAAGGTAAGACTTTTGGTTTTTGATTTTTCCTATGTGGAAATCTCTAGCGTCCCTGGGTGCATGGTATTCCTGTGGCTGCCCCTTTCTGGGCTGGGCTTTGTCTGATTCTCAGCAGCCCCCCCCCCCCCGGGCCCTTCATATAGAATGGGTTGCCCCTGATCTCACAATTTTCTTTCATACTCCCCCTTTCCTCCGTTAAAGCCACCCCCTCTGGCCCCATCCCTACCAGCTGGGGAGACACCCGCACTATCTGCCTGTGGGGAAAGTCAAGGCTCCCTGAGGGACTTATCAGTTCAGAAGCTTTAAGAGTCTGGGCCAAAATCCTGTAGACAGACAAATGGATAAATAAAACAGCCATTTGGCTGGGGATCCAGCTAACTCTGGGGACTCAGTTTAAGTTCCAGTGTGAGTGGAGTGAATGAATGTGTCAGCGGAGGTAATCTCTAATGATACAGCCCAGACAGCTCAGAGTTGGAGTCCTCTTCTCAGCCAGAGACGAACGGCTCATCGGAGCTCATGGTTTCCTTAGTCTGAGGTTGGGTGCTCCCCCCCTCCCTCCCCGCCTGCCTCTGAATGCGTGACCCAGCTGAGTGCTCTCCCAGTGCCCAAGATGCAGGTTAATCTGCTGGGCCTGAATTCTTCGGCTAAGGGCTGCAGCCACTGAGCCCAGAAGTGTGCAAGCAATCTGTCTCTCCCTACCTCCAGGGGAACTGCTCTTCACAAAGAGCTGGTAGGGGCGTCTCTGACAGTGGCCGTGTCAGGGTGAACAGGCATGGAAGGAGCTTCTTTGCCGGTTTAATCAAGTGCACCAAATGCAGGCTGCTGATTAGGCATCTCGCTGCCTTGTTCTTCACTAAGAATTTGGGCATCTGGCAAGGTCTTTAGGAATTGCGGGTTGGTGGGGGTGGGGAGGGTGCTTGGTAGGAAGCAAGCCAGGGGGGTGGTGTTAATATGGGGGTAGGCTTGGAGACGTGGGACTTTGATGCTTGTGTTAAGAGATTTCTTGGGACAGATGCACCTGCAAAGGAGGCTCCTCCTCTTCTCTGTCCTCCTCTCTCCCCACCCCCACCCTCCAGGTGTGCAGCAGTGAGGCAGCTGGAGCTGCATTGGGTCTCTAGTATCAGTGAGGCACGTGGCTCGCTTCCCCCAGGGCCTGGGCATCTCCCTACTACCCCCCACCCCAGTCTCTGGCCTTCCCCTCCTTCCTCCCCTAGTTCCCTGCCTCAGCAGCACTGCGATTGGCTGGCGCTTGGTGCTTCTAGGCAGCACCCCTCATTAGAAGCGAAGGAGCATCTCTAAGCAGATATTCTTCGTGTTGCTGCTGCTGCTCAAATCCTCCCACAACCACCCCTGGCTGGGCTTCCTCTCTCCTCCTCTCTGCACTCTCCTTCTCCTTCCACCCTCCTTCCACCCCCACAGAGTGATTCGGGGTCATTCGGTGCCAGAGTTAAACGTCTCCAGGGTGGGGGTATCGGGGAGGAGGAAGGGTCCGGTCCCCGAAGTCCCGCCTGCCGGGGCGCTGCACAAAGCCGACACATCCCCTTATGTTGCGTGCTGCGGCTGCAAACCCTTCTCTAGGCAGATCTCTACTGATTTCCCCGGCGGGGCCCCGCTCCCCCGCCGTCCGCCTCCTACAATTCTCTAGAATCCCCCACCCTCCAGGTGCAGCTTTACCGTGCCCCTCTCGTAGGGGCATGTTTACTCAGACAGGCGCCCTTCAGTTTCCTGGCCGTAGACAAAGCCACCCGGCCGCGCCGCGGGTGGCACCGTGTGCCAGCAGCCATCGCTGGCACCTAGGACAGCGCCACTGGAACTCCCCAGGCGTCCGTGGCTCCGCGACCGGCCGGGTTCAGCACCTCGGGCACCTCCGGCGGGGCCCGGGCTCTGGGGCTGGGAAACCAAGCAGGGTCCCTAGACCACGCGGCTGGTGCTATGCACGCTTTCTCTTCCGCTGCAAAGACACCGCCTTTCTACCAGGCGCTGCGAGCGTGCAAGGTGCGACAGCGGCTTTTACCCCGCCCTTCCCTCGTCTTGGGCCAAGATGGACCAGAGAGAGTCAAAGGAGAGAATAGCGAGTTGATTCAGCAGCGGCACCCCGTGCCTTGGCTGCCGGCCGGGTCCCAGTGGGCTCTTCTGTCTTCGTAGTTGGAAGTTTCGCAGTGGTTCTACAGCATGTAGGCTGTTCTAACAGTGTTCAGAGAACATCTGCTAAGGTGTGTAGAGGAGCCCGGTTGGAAAATTTAAAATGCACCACGTTTGCTTTTTCTCTCTTGGCTGTGCAACGTGACTGACAAATATATATATTCCCTCTGGTGGTGACCATGTGGCAACAGTGCGCTTCTGTGTGTCCTGCGTTTCCTCCAATACTGCATCTGAGAGCCTAGTCTCACTTTCCTGACGACCTAGACATCCGGCTTCGGGAAGTCTCTCCCTTTTTCTTATCGGGAGTCAGTGTGAGCAGTGGTTACCTGAAAACTTGGGAGCCAGGCTGCGTTCAAACCCCGTTCCTTTCACAGGCTCCGTGACCTTGAAAAGTTACTTCCTTACTTTGTGACTCAGTTTCCTAATCTGTAAAATGAGGGTGATAATCCTGAGTTAGTGGGAGAATTAAATGAGGTTACATACGTCAGGTTCCTGCAACACTGTCTAATTACCCAGTAAGCGCTAGCTGTATTTTTTTCTATTATTGGGGGATTGTTTTATTTATTTTTTATTTTTTTAATAATGAATTTATTTTTTATTGGTGTTCAATTTGCCAACATACAGAATAACACCCAGTGCTCATCCCGTCAAGTGCCCCCCTCAGTGCCCGTCATCCATTCACCCCCACCCCCCTCCCTCCTCCCCTTCCAGCACCCCTAGTTCCTTTCCCAGAGTTAGGAGTCTTCATATTCTGTCTCCCTTTCTGATATTTCCTACCCATTTCTTCTCCCTTCCCTTCTATTTCCTTTCACTATTATTTATATTCCCCAAATGAATGGGACCATATAATGTTTAAAGGGGTCCTTCAGAAATTTCAGCAAAATTCTCCCAGAAGGGAGAGAGAGGTCTTAGTTTTAGGTGAAGGAAATCTTCTAGATTTTTGCCTCTCACAGCAAAGAGCAACATCCCCATCACCAGGGGGCCTGTTAAAAATTGGGAACCCTGAGCCCCACTTCAGATTTACTGAATCAGAATCTGCATTTTAATAAGATCCCAGGTAGTTAGTATGCATATTAAAGTTTAAGAAGTGCTTCTCTACTGTTTGTAAGGGCCAGGTATTTGGGGGGGTTGGGAAAGGAAGATTGTTCAGAAAATGGGTTAAGACCTCTTGCTTTGAACTGACTTATAAACATGTAATATACTTGAAGACTTTGATTATTTGTGCACTAGTCTTTGAGATATACACATCTTTTGTGGGCTGCAGAAAGTCACTGTGGAGCTAGGAGGAAATGAGCACTTCTTTGTGCTGTGTTAGCTTCTCTTCACGCTGCATAGTACTGGTCTGTAACAAATTGTCCTGAAAAGATCAGTTAAGGGAAAGAAATTATTTAATTTATACTTGTAGGACCCTCTGACTTCGGTGGGTGGTTGTGGCAATCTTTTCCAGTTATTTAATAGGGAAAGTCTAGTTCCTATGGAAAGAAATGCCCAAGATAACCCAGATTTGGCATGAAAGATGGTGGTAAGTTACAGCCCACTCTGAATGTGTTTCATTTTTCTTGGAAGCTACATCTGCATAGGGAGATAATTTTATTTTCTTATGGCACTCTTCTCTGCAGTGGATACCATAACCTTTTTGAAAATGCTAATCTGATTTAAAATGTGATATTACATTTTATATGATTCCTCCATTCCTTTTTTGCTCATCTAATAGATGGAACAAAAGGATTCTCTTTCTCAGGGAATTGGCTGCTCTGAATGTCATCACACGTTCACTGTACCATATGCTTACCAGCTCTCACCCTTCCATGCCCAGGCTCAGTTACTCTGTGGACACACACAAGGTCTCCCTCATGGTTTGTGAGATGTCCCATACTTCCTTCCCATTTTTTAGGTCCAGAGGATGAGGGGAAGAAATGAGATGTCTGAGTTGGTGTATCTGTGCCATTGATGGGCAGTGGGAGATTTTTTCCCACATTCATGGCGTGGGTCATCTCAGCAAGGGATCCCATGTTTCATGCAGAAATGTAGGGATCTAAAGTAGGAAGATCAAACGTGTTTGCAGCTGCTAAGACGTCAAAAGGTTGAAAGCTCATTATAATGAACTTGTAGATATTCATCTATGATTTCTTGTTGCAGAGAATTTCACTGTAGCCCCGAAAGACTCTAGCTCTGGGTCGGAGGTTATGTGCTTTACTGTGGTAAATTTCCCACTGTAAATTGCCTATTTATTTTGGAGGGTTTCCATGAAGATTACTGAAAGCTTTAGTTCTCCCATCTCCCATTTTGGCATAAACTTTTCTCCTGCTCTGGTTGCCTATAAATATACAGCACCTTGCAGGATAGTAGACTGTAATCTTGGCAAGAATTTCAGGTTGATGTAACACTAATGGATCATGAGTCAGAGTGCCTCGATTAGGGCAGAGGGTGGCAGCTAACAAGGACAAAGTCTGTAATTATATCCCATGATAACATAATGCAGAAAGACTTCGCATCTTCCATGTACCTGGGCACAGATGCAGACGATATGAAGTGGGTAGTGACTGTAACTGGCCTTGCGGCTGCTAGAGAAAGCTCTTCACTTTCTGAGCCTCCCAGGACTGTCTCCACATTGTCCATGGACTTTGTGTTTGAAATGAGGTGTGGGTAATGTTTCCTCC